TAGCTATTTTATTTAACTTCAACATTGTACAAATAGTTTTTTGTACAAAACTTTTATCATTCAACTAATAATAATCGTTGCTGCTGGTAGAAAAGAATTGGGAGTTGTTTTGTGAAGCTGTTAGTAGAGCCTAATTAGCACCCGCTCCGCCCCCCTCGATCGCGACACTGTATTTGCGTACTCTTGTGTATTGTCAATGAGAATATACCAAGCCCACCTAGTTTAAAAAAAATAGTCGTTTTTTGACAATACACTGCGTACTGTTATTCTGACCTCTCAGAAGAATAGCGTGGTATCCTGCAAGTAGAACTTTAGAGAATGAATTTATGAAACATTTATGGATGACAGATAGCTAAAGTCTTACCTCTGTGCGGCACTCCACGCGCGTTACAGATTAGTTCACTGTTATCCTTCTATGAATTCTGGCTGAAAATCGAGTCAGAATAAATACTTCAAGTAGTTTTCTCGACTTTGGTTCGAATACTAGCTTAGCAACATAATTTTTAAAACTATGTGGTACCAGTTTTTCGAAAAACAGTGTCGTCTTCTGTTTTAAATTTTCGATTTTGTGAAGCCAGAACAGATTCGCTAACTTTAAACGATATTTCATTTGAAAGAAGAATGAAAACTGAACAAAATGGCTGATTAGAATTTTTTCTATAGGTTGAGTTTATATAAAGACGAATGATTGTGATTCAATTTGTCGTTGTAAGTTTTCACGTTTTTCTCTTCGTCTGTCGTAGAAACGGTATCGAGCTGGATGTAAGAATGTCTAACACTCTTCTTCAACGATATTTAGAGTCACTTTAGGATTATCGGTTCAATAGCTATAGGCGTCTGACATTATCACAGATCACAGAATGTACCAGCTACAGAGAGGTAATCTATAACAAATCAAAACATTGCAATAATCTTAAAAAGGAGGAGGAAACATCATTTTAAAACAGGATTATACGTTTATATATAATGAAGTTTAAAACTGTGTATATATTTATGCTTCTAATGCATCATTCAGAAAGACGACCTATATATAAAGACCTGCCATTGACATAAAAAAGATTCATGATTGCTAATCATTTGTTTAACTCTCTCAAGGCGAAAAAACTGCTATCATATTATGCCACTTTTATTGTCTATTTTCCACGATATCGCTAGAAGAGATTTTATATATGAGACTATAAATTTTCATAAAACATCTCCATGTAAAATGAGTTAAGGACTAACAAAAGAGACATATAAGGCATGACAGAATGTTTTCCTGTTTTCAACTTAATTGATCAAATAATTGATTGGCGTTGTCTGCTACATAAAACGTTTCTGATAAAAATTAATTAATGTGGTTATATCTGAATGTATAAATTGTTTTTATAAATCTTGCCATTTTTTTATGTTTCTATGAAAAAATTGGTAAAAACAAAATGGTTCGATGATCAATCTTATACGGTCTCCTTGATCTAATAGAATTATCAATAATTATTATGACATCTAAATTTTAGAGAGATAGAACTTCTGGTGTAGAAACAACCAGTTTCTCAAGAGAAACGATGAAGTTCCTGTGGAAAAACTGCTCGTGAAGAAAGATCTCGTTTCTCAGGAGAAAATATGAAGTTCTCGTCAAGAAACATCGCACTGCTGAGGAGAAAGGATGAAGTGTTCGTGAAGAAAGATCGAGTTTCACAAGAGAAAAGATGAAGTTTATTTGAAGAATTGCATTTCACAATGAAGCTCTATTTCACTGCTCGTTGTAGAACAGTACAATGGCTACATTACAAGACACTTTTTTCTCTCCTTCTCTTATAGCTTTAAACAACAATCCGTCCGACCATGCTACCCATATTTCGTGTTCGTTTAACTTTCCTCTACGAAATAGTAGTGCTTCTCGCCAAGTTTGTCAAATAGATAGTAATTCTTCTTCTTCTTCTTCCGCCTATTTTTGTACCTATCAGCTCTACGTTTTTAATTACAGTTTCAATTCCAAACTAATTTCTCCATGAGAACTTCATCCTTTATCGTGATCAACGCGATGTTTTCTCAGGACCTAACCAAAAACTTTGACGTACTTGAACAGTTCATAAATACCATAAGCCTGCTGCTGTTTGTTTAAAGGGTTTTCCAGACGCCGGATCTCTGGAAAACTCTTTAGAAAACTTTTTCAAAATCCAACTCTCATGCCATTAGAAAGAGGATCATGAAAAACCTATAAAAAAATGGTTCATGAAATTTTACTTCACTCATAAAGCTAAAGTCCGCCTGCTCTGGGAAAAAATGCCCACTGTGCTTCATCTTGGAGACAACGAAATATCCGATAGAGGAGAGGAAGCACTAGCAGAAGCACTAAAAGTAAACAACACCCTGACTCAATTTGATCTTTCAGAGAACCAAATATCTGATAGAGGAGGTGAAGCACTAGCAGAAGCACTGGAAGTAAACAACACTCTTACTCGTCCGGAAGCCGAATTACAGATAGAGCCTTATGGGATCATCCCGATCTCCTGATGGGATCAGGATTAACTACAAGTTTTCACAAATATTGTAGTATTATTTCATACTCTTATATTCTCCCTTAAAACAGCGTATAAACACGCAATGAAATATCAACAGCTTAAAAAAATATTGAGAAAAAGAAATAAAGCTCCATAGGAAGCACTGGGTGCACATCATATTGTTAGAAGAACCATTTAATGAAAGATTTGTAGTTTGAACCGGGATGCTTAAAGTTTAGTTCTCATCAAAGTTCGAGTATACACGATACTAAATTTTATCTCAGAGGTGGAAGTAGAGTTTGTATTATCTTATTTTGTAATTCTATATGAGAACTTTACTAACGTAACTACACATATAATAAACATTTTCTGTTTTAATTGAAAACTTTCTGTGTTATGTTCTTAAAAAATATCGTTTTTATTCGAATCATTAATCACGACTTAATCATTTATAAGGAAAAAGTATGTTTTCACTTATGATCACCATTAGCCTTCTTAGGCACTAACGATAGTCTTGGCGACCATGGTTTCGAGGCGTCTAGTATATGTGCCATTGATTGAAAACTGGGTGTCTGCTCGTCATAGGATACAATGTTAGAATGAAAACCATTTTCATCTTCGATTCCACTAGTATCACCCACTTCAAAGGTCACTGCATTATCATCATCATCATCATGTTCATATGGTTGTTGTGATAAAGATGACGAATTTGAATAAGACGAATAAGGACTTGGTAATAAAAGATGAGTTTTGTAAGCGGGTGTATAATGTTTTTCAGAAGATGAATTTATATTCATTTTTGTCCATGTTGTTTTTGAAGACGGATCTTTAGTATCAGGAACAACGTAAAGTCTTTTATTGGGTAATAGCGTCGTTTTACTTGCATCATAGACTGATATATCTCTCACTCGTTTCGACGGCATCGTTTTGTTTCCGACGTCTTTGACTATTTGTTGTCTGAGTTGGTGTTTACCTGTATCATAATCACGTACACCTCGTTGTATTATTGGTTGTTTATGTGTCAGTATTGCTTGAAACATTCTCAGCATACCTTTTTTATGGGTTTCAAACGATTCTGAAGATATAGCGTGTTTTAATTTAGGAAAAATATGATGATGCATAGTTTTTAACTTTCGATATTTTTGTATGGAATATGCAATTTGTAAAATAAAAAGTATTACGCTAACAATAGCGTACTGTGTTATCATGAAAAATACAGCATTTGCATCACCTGCTCCAGTGTGCTCTAAATGTCCGTATCTATGATAATTAAAATAGATATCTTGACAAAATATATTCTTCGGTTCTTTTGCTAGCTGTTTGTCCACACTATTTAGCGATCGTGATGCATAAATGAGTAAACAAATCGAATGTTTCCCATGTTCAATATCCTGCAAATGAATTGTGTTTGTGTTGTTTTTGTTAGATTTATATGGTTGAATTGAATATTCACGTAATGTTCCACTATGGATATGTCGAGCAATATATTTCATATAATCACTTGACTTTGGCTGAAGTGAACCAAACAGTTGAAATGTAACACGTACGGTATGTTTGTTAAGAAATCCCCACGAACTCTTGTAATAAGCATGCTCGTATATCGGATCATGTGACACAGTTGTCATTGTGAAGCTAGCACTGGTAGTTGTTCTTTTCTTCTTCTTTAATCTTGTCATATTTGATACTTGAGTAATTTTCTGTAATAAACTATTTTTTAACTGTAGATTGTCATTTTGCATAACTTTACCACTGTCACTCCATTCATGAGTGAAATTAATGATAATCAGTGCTTGGAAATAAATGAACAATAATAATCGCATGTTTACTCGATCTGATATTAAATTTCTGAAAACAGATATGTTTGTGAATCACATTGAACAGATTCATGGATGCTAACATGAATAATGAATCAAATTGCTCTCAAACTCTCTCGTCGCTATTCGTATAGTACCGTAAAATGAGAATAATGATCCCTTGATGAAACGTACCTGATCATAATATAAAAATCATCTAACATTAATTAAAATATCACACAAATCTCGCTTTATAATTTTAATCACATATTAGTAGATAAAGTGATTTCCAGTTTTAATCTAAATATTTTTAAGTTCTACGTATATCATCTTTTTCGTTTCTCTGTTTATGTGTATTTCTTTCAACATCTGTACCTACCACAAAGTATAACAGCCAAAATTTATTTCCTTAGTAATTTGTACTTTTATCCATCAATAACAACAACATAATATTGAGTGAATAATGATTTCTTTTCTGCGTTTATTTGTTGTATTACCTTGAAGAATAAAATAGTTTGGTATCAATTAATTCACTAAATTTTTTTTCCTTTTTTTACCACAATAAAATAAGTATTATTCACACACACACATATACAGTAGCTACCATATTCAAAAACACAAAAATCTTCTCTTCACAAATTTTGGTGAAATAGTGATATCTGACTAGCCAAAAAATTTCGTGTAATTCAAGAAAATAGAGACGCGGTACACACTCTTGAAACATAATTGGTGGATAGGAGTTCTATTTTCGAATTAAAATTATATTCCACTATCGCTCAAATATTATTTGTACAACAGATACTCTTTTCTTTCTTTGTTTTGAAATTGAATTTGTAATATAACGCAAAGATTTTTATCGCGTCAATGAGCATGAAGTTTGGACTAAAAACACAATTTAATGGAAGGATATGTGTCTGTCATAAAAGGACAATCGATAGCTGTTTAACTTAGATAATTAATAGAATATATGTATGATTTGACTTTGTGGATGTGTTTAACACATATATCTTTTCGACTTGTATGACTTCAAATATATCCTTTATGATTTTTTGACTGCTATGATCTGTAGAACTTTTGTGACTAGTATGCTCATTATAAAAGTTGTATAGAATAGTAGATATTCATCTGAATATCTATATATATGTCTACAGATATGCATTTGGAATTGTTTAATGATTTTGCTTTTAGACAAACTCTGTTCAAACTTCATGCTCTCATTTTACAAGGTAAAAAATTATCGGTCACATTTATTCAAATCAAGCGGATGCTTGGGAAAAATATTTAAAAGAGAACGGTTTTCCACTTTTCGGAGAACGGTTTGCATTTTTTATAGAACGGATATTTTTTATAGCTGGAAAGAAAACGGATGAACGCAGAGAGAACGCTTAACATTGTTTGGAGAACGGTTTTTGAATATTTTTGACGAAATTAAGAATAAAGCATGTAGTATAAACAACAATAACTAAAGAGGAATTAGATCTAAACTTACATCACATGATGAATAATATGACTGTAGAACATACTCGCGATGGATTTCATCATCTTTCAACAAAATATACGTATAAATACGTAGTCAACATGAGCAATTCTAAAATTGAACACACTCTAAATCTATGCCCAGTCCCGATGGAAAGTGGTCTATAGAAATCATACAAATTCAAAAACCGTTCTCCAAACAATGTTAACCGTTCTCTTTTCGTTCATCCGTTTTCTTTTCAGCTATACAAAATATCGGTTCTCTAAAAAATGCGAACCGTTCTCTTTTAAATTCTTGTCTGGATGCTTTAATGATTCCATTGTTGAGCAAAAAGATCAAAGACGTGTTCGAGAAATCCATAATTGAACAGATGAAAGATCCATAAGTTATTAAACATTACTATACTATTGGGTGCCAATGTATTTAAGATTTGTGCAGAGAAATCTTACTATAATATACATAAAAGAAGGTTACTATTTTATTATTACCAGTTGGACATTGGAATTTATCTTTGTTGAAGGACACATGCATTAATCATAAACAAAATTTAAGTCAGTCGCAAAATGATAAGAACGATCTATATGCTGATTCAGAGGCGGGCAAGTCCGACCATTTTTAAGTTCAGGTTCCAGATCGAGTTGAAGCTCTTTCATACCAGTTTCTGCAGTGCGAGTAAATAAATTTTATTCATAGGTTCGATGCATGTTTGACAAAAAAGAGATTAATGCATTGTGTATCAGATTACATCCACTTCGTAGTTAATGTGATATATTTTAACTTCTTGGACTTTAAATGGACTTGGTAAAAAATCTTCAAATCCAAACTTGAACTTGCCTACTTCTGTGCTGCTTTCTCATGCAAACTACTCAGTTCTTCTTCGGCTTGCCACGTTACTCTATTATCTAGGCATGCACCAGTTACAGGGTTTTACCACTTAACTATACTTGTAAAATTGTAAAACCGCTGATAACTGTAACTATGAAAACTGTAACTGCTCATAACTGTAGGCAAATATTCTAGAGTGAGTTAGTCTTCTACGATTTGCATACATTTTAACAGTGAGACATTCTTAAAATGTATGCAAATCGTAGAAGACTAACTCACTCTAGAATATTTGCCTACAGTTATGAGCATTTTTACGAGTGTAGTTAACTGGTAAAAAACTGTAACTGGTGCATACCTACTATTATCAGAGTGAAATTTTGTCACGTTCTTTTTCTACTTTATACTCTCTATATATTTTGATTGTAGACACGTTCGTAGCTCTTCAACGTTTTAATTTGTAAAATAAACTGTGCTGAGTATTTTGAAAGTAAGTTGCAAGACTGCCCTTCAGTCTGCAAATCTGCAGATTATGGAGAGTGTCAAATCATTTCCAAGTGTTCAACACAGTTCATTCTCCAAGTCAACAGAATTATGTGACATCATCAAATAATAATTTCTTTGACATGAAAAATCGTTACGTAGTTTTAAGGTTTATTGGCACTCTAACCACTCACATTTGATAAATAACGGTTTTACATTTCTAACGCATGTACAAATCAAACAAAAATGCCTAATGAATCAAAAGCAACAAATTTTTGTCCCACGCTTAGAACGTAGAAATTTTGTTGCTTACGTAGGTCTAGTCATTAACAACATAAACTACACCAAAACCTTCAAACAATAGCATTTTTTTAATACTTAAGATTAACAGACATTAGAGAGGAGAATATTCTCTTAAGAAAGCACACGTTAAGCAACAACAACATCATTAGCATCAGATGTATACAGGTAAATCAAGTTTTCAATCTTCTGAAAGAAAAAAAGGAGAGTGAAAGAAAATCTATCTGTCGAATAATTAAATCAATCGAAGAAAAAAATAACAAGAAGAAATTCATTTTGTTTTTTTTTGTATTTCGAACATTTTCTTTAAAAAGGTCGAATGTGGTATGAACATCATTATTGTGATTAATTCAACGTATGTGGTGGAATAAACGTCGATGTTTACTATTACTATTATTATTGATCCAACATTGTTCATCCTATCATTATCCTAAAACACTACTGAATTTACAAATGTTATCAAAAGACGTTCCAGTTTCGAGTATAAGTATCGCTAATGACACCTGCTCTCAAAATCCCATTAATATTGATCAAAATACAGACGATACCGATCATGACGTAGAACAACATGATCAGCCAATAACATCAGATACTTATCAATTTTCATCAATTTGGGAAAAAGATCCGTCATCAGTGGATAATAGCGAGGAGGATGATGATCGATCAACAATTGAAATTCAATTTTATATACCATATGTTTTAAATGATCCTAATTCGATTTTGAATCACACAATCTACATACGTGGCGGTTTAGACAATCATCTGTTGTCAACAATAACTGAGATATGTATAAATTCGACATCATCATTTAGTATTAAATATACAACAACAAAACCATTGCCACATAATATCTGTCTTTATCTTGTTATTAATGTAACGACAATACGAGAAATATTTTTATGTCGAACGATCGATGATACAGATTCATCTGACGACGATCACGCATCTGACAATGGTCATGGATCTAACGATAGTCATGCAATTGGACCAAGTCCATTTTTTATTCTAAGTCAATGTGTTATTATACTAATAATGATGCTTATTATCTATGCAGTGCAAACAGCTCGTGAAAAACGTATTTTCAATCGTATCAAACATAATCTTATGAATAGTCGACCATTTTCAGCAGCATTCCGAGGTGATCGTCAAGCGATGGCAACTGCTGCTTCTCGTCAGTCACTACAACTTGGATTAAGAAATTTTGATTTAAGGAATCCTTCAGCTGTTGCAAACGCACTGAACAATAGAGCCGTACCCATTGAAGAACAAGTATTAGCTGCTAATGATTTAACACAAACAGCTGGTCAACGTAAACAAAGTTTACAATTTCTCAAACCGGATTTAATGGATGTAAAAGAATTTACAAAACGAATGAGTGAAACAAATGAAAACGGTATATTAGGTGTCAAGATTGACTTTGTTCATAATCTAACGGCACCATGGAAAGAGATAAAAGTTGATGAAAATGGTGAAACAATCATATCGAACCCTGTCCGATGTGAACATTGGTAAATTTTACCTTTTTTATCGGATTTTTCCATATTTATGAATTGCAGAACGGGGAACTTTCACCACTAGTCAAGTCTACTGATTCGTTCAATTAATTGAATAGTACTTTGCGTAACTGCAAAAAACTTTTTTGGCAAATTTTGGAAAAAAAAATGACACAATAAAAGTTTAACTATTAACAATTTATTTTATTTTCACATGAATTTCAACTGTAAAGTCTTATATCTTCACCCAGTTTTTGACTAAACCAGTGGAAAAGAAAGATCTCATTTATGGTTGAAAATAAGTTAAAAATATAGTTTTCTCATTCTGCTTACAACATAGGATCGTGTGGTCGACACTTGTGATGAGAAACTCTGAATTCGTCTGCAAAATTTTTCGCTAAGCATAGCCCCAGTCAAATAAATGTACTGAGTACAAAATACCTCGCTATCGGTGGTGTCACAAGTACCCAAGAAATTATTGGATAATTGAGTTCTTTAGGGTGCCTTTTAGGTATGTATCCAAGTATCCTGGTGAGATATGTTTCGGTACTTGACTACCTGTAAGGGTGACATGACAACATAATTCCAGATAACCAAGGCAATTTTTAATTAATCATTTTTAAATAGACTATCTACCAGTGACTACTATAGTACTTTCATGTAGGAGACAACTTGAGCTTGTGCATTTCAAAAGAGTTGCCCACGTATGAGCAAAATGAACTTTATTATTTTCCAAAAATAAATGCTGTTTAGTACATTATGTAATATAAAGCGGTGATTGAAGCGTGAAGGAATCTCTTACGAGGGAACCTCTAGAGGTGATAAAACGCTTTTTGATCAAAATCTAGTGGCTTATAGATTATCGATCATGCTGATTCCGAATATGATTATGGGGGTTGTCGTTAGTCGTTCGAAGATCCGGTTTTATGGAAAACCAGTTTTTCTTCTTATTTCTGTGAACATTTCTTGTAAGTTCTATAACTTTGCAAAGAAAGGTCATGTAGAGCTGGGAGACGTCTAATTTCAATCAGAAATTTGTGGGCTACAATCATGACTCGTTAAGAAAGGTTTGGGTTACTTTTTAGAGTTTCTGAAAAACTGGTTTTGCCCATCGTGTAGGGCGTCAAAAATAACCTAAAGGTCTCGCTTACGCTTTTTTGAAAAAACGTGTGAAAAGTCGTTTTCTAGACACCTCAAGTTTTTGGTGAGGGTGAAACAGCTCAATTTTCTTTTCATGAAGTAAGGTTTTAACGGGTTTTCTGGAAACCTGTGGATGAAAAATGGAATGTGTCGAGGATAGTTGTATGGGCACAGTTATAGATCCTACTAAGTAGTTCCTATCCTGAAAAAATCTCGAAAAATTTTTGAAGCGTTTAGGAGAAAATCGAGGTCAAACTTCAGGAATTTTTCAAGTAAATTGAGTACCACTCGAATGTAAAGTTAGATCAAGACCGAATTCCGAAAACTTTCTTTAATAAATTTTCTATCAGAAACATGTCAACGTGTTGTCTAGAACCATATTTAGTTACTTAATTTCTTAAAATTCCACTGCCAACTGTTTTATGTTTGTGGTATCGACTTCTTAGAAATTTTAAATGTTTTCATCAGATTGCATAAGAAAAACAAGTTGAAAAAAAATATAATAGTTTTGGAATTTACTCACAGCATTATGTATGAAATTATAGCATTTATACATTTTTGAAACAATTTATAAGAAATTTAAGAATTTCTATGTTCCTGAAAGCCAAATTGAATACGATACAGTTGAATTGTAAGACTGTTTGACTTTTTACATTTTTTTCTTACGCTTAGCAACATTGTTTCATTCGAAACATTATTTTTATCTTTTTAGTCTTCTTTTTACAGATTTATCTATTTTCATTTGTAAATTGTGTAGATGAGATTAGTCAACAACAATACAATAAATGTTTAATGGATGGTCCTTTTATTTCCTTCAATTTGCTATCGACAGATGAGGAAGCCGTTCGTAGCTGCGAGAGCCACTCATCAAGCGTTTGAGTGAAATGAAAGATTTCGGATAAAATTTTCGGATAAAAAATTTCGGATAAAATTTAGAGACTTTTTTGAAAAAATTCAATATACATTCTAGTAAACTTCGCAATAAAAAGTTGATGACATTTTTTTTGCTCGTCAACTTCCTCGCGCACGGAAAAAATATATAATGATGTACATTCTGTGGAAAAAAATAGAAATTTGTTGAAAAGATTTTTGAAGTATTTTTGACACTTGTATGAGTTTTTCCAGGTTCTAAACCTCTATGGCTATCCTTGTATCCCTGTGACTTTCGTTTTAGATTTAATAGAGATCTGTTTCATTTTATGCACATAGTTTGGTTAATGATTAATCTTCGTACGCTACAAAAAAGAAAACGAATGTAATAGAAATTACATATAGCAAAGTACAGACAAAATCATGTGTCGTTTCGTCATACAATTATATGTTGCAACCAAAATTAGAAAATTTGAATTTTTGGCGTGACATGTATAAGTACCGTTGCTGTTCACCGATTGTTTTGCTCACAAACACCGTTCTACGGAACAAAACTTAATCATTTCTTTTTTATTTGTTTGTTCAGAGATGCTTATTCAGTACCGGTAAAAAATAAGTTTCTGTCTCATTTGGTTGTCGAAATATGAATGAAACAACGCCAAAACGCCTCTCTAAAGAAACGGAATTTTTCCTCTACCCTATTTAAAGATTACAGAATCATACTTTAATGGAATAGCCTGAAAACAGGGCTTTCAAATTATGTATTTTGATTTTAAGTAAAATTAAGTTTTCCATAAAAACTAGAGGAAAAACTACCGTTACAGACATTTTTCAAAATTTTGTTCTGCGAGACTTCAAGACGCTCTTCGTATGACATAGATGATTTAAAAATTTTTTCAGATAGGCAGAAAAATAGAGCAGCTCTATATTTTGCTAAATAGCGTTTTTTCTAAGTCTTTATATCTCAATAAAAAACGTGTTTGAATATGCTATACAATGTTGTTTCCACACAAAACGGCCTGTGAGATTTAAAAAGTTGTTTTGTCTATAACTCGATGATGAGTGATCCATTTGAGCTAAAACTTTTACCCTTTTTTCCTTCTTGGACGATTAGTCTGTGATATAAAAATGAGCTTTTAGAAACACTTTGTTCCTGAGAAAAACGCATTTTACATAAAAAATATCCGTCGAGATTTATTGTCTATAACTTGATCAAAACTGAGTATAACTGACACTTATAATACAGTAATACTATAATACTGAAAACAAACAGTGGCCCGAGATTCAGCGTGGTTGATTACCTATGTTCCATGCGATTTAAAGATTACTTCTAGTCATTGGATGACAGTTCTAGGATCCCTGTGAAATCCGATATCACAACCGAACCGCTGCAACTCAAGGTCTTGCTCGACTCTCATTTTGAAGATGACACTTTGGACTATTATCTATGTAAAAAAACAGAATATTTGTATGTCAAGTTCTCGAGTAATAACTTGATTTCTAAAGATCCTCTGGAAAACGTACTATGGAAAAAGTTTTCGAAATGATTTTTATGATAAAAAGATGCGGTCAAGTCTTTGCTTTTAATTGTTGAAGACCGCAAGTTTCTATCACTTTCCTGTCAAATGTTATTCAAAAACCATCCGAGTGCATTCTTTTTTACCTTAACGACAATACTCAGAGTTTGTATATATTATAGCTCTTGAAAAAAATCAAATTTCTCAACCAGTATACATGCAACCAAGTGATGGAAAATTTTTATTAATAAAACTCAAAAGTAGTACTATCTAATATATGATTCAGAATTTGTTTTTCGCTTTTTTTCGAAACGGTACAGTTCCAATGCAATTCTCTCATGTTTCTTTTCGCTGAATGTAGGATATGAAAAAAAAGTGCTATGTTTCCTCAATCTGGCGAGCTCTTTAGCTAATCCAATTTCAAATCACTGGAGAAAGAGAAAGAAACTTGATATACAAAAATTCTTTAATTCTGTAAATTGAAAATATCATACAATACAAAATACGTTCTCATAATATTAATCATCATTAATCAAATTATTTTAACTCTATTTACAGATAAGAAAATCAAAAAATTGATTACAAAGTCGTTTTATGTGTTAATATTTCATCCAAAATATAATCATAATCACAAACTGGTAGATTATCCACGATTTGTTGAGTAAATGCTAGACCAATTGTAAATGGTTTCTTATTATGGGTTTGAACATAATGATTCAAAAACTTATCGTAAAATCCTTTTCCGTGGCCCAAACGATAACCATTTAAAGAAAATGCTAGACCAGGTACCAATATTAAATCTAATTCACTCGCTGTTTCACGTTCATCATCATCCATTCTTGGTTGTTTTATATTCCATTTTGTCATCGGTAATGTGTCTAAATCTTCCATCGACATTAGACGCAACATTTGCATTGTATTCTGATCATAACGTGGAATGTAAACATGTTTATTCATTTTAAACGATTGTTCAATAATATCGAACGTAGCTATTTCTGTTGGTAAACTGATAAAAATAGATAAACGATGACTAGAAAGAAATTTTGGATGTTTGATTAACTGCTGAAAAACAGATGACGATTGTTCACGACGTTCTTCTACACTCATTAACGATATCGCCTTTTTTATGTGTTGACGAAGAGTTCGTTTAGCAGCCATATTTATATTCTCTACAAGGAAAACTATTTCGATAATTATGACTTTAGTACGAAAAAATGTTATCTACCTTTAGATGATATTTCGCCACCCCATATCTGCTTGCTTTATTACAAAGAAAAAAACTGTACAGAGAAAATGAAACGTAGTATTAAAATAATAACACTTATATGGAAACAAACAATAGTAGCGTACAAAAAACGACAAAAAAACGTTCATTCAACTAATTTCGAGACATCTTCATACACAATACCTTCGATTAAACATCCTTTCATTGGGCCCTGAAAGATAAAAGAAAAATACTGGCCTAATTCTTCTGAAAGTTATACGCATTGAAAGAACGAAAAAACGGTGGACTTGGAAAGAGTTATCTTAGTCTCAGACATCCAAGATATATCTGCTTCTATTTTGTAACTGTCCACAGATTTCGTATCTAATGACGTACCGTTAAAAGTTTACAGTCAACACAAAATTTGTCTTGATGTAGTTGTTCCAAAATTGCTTCACAACCCCGATAAGCTCCATTGACAATCAAAAGTTTTTTACCTGAAATTGAACATATTAGTATTAAATAATAATTAGACGAGAATATTTTGACGTACCAACAGCTGGTATCACTGTTTCAACATGTGATTGATCCACGCGTATTTTATCATTTGTATCAATCATTTTAATAACTGCTTGATAATGATTTTCCACTCTAACGACAACGGCTTTTTTTTTCTGATATTTTTCACCTAATTTTGCTGTTATTACCTTCACAATGATCCTCTGAACAGAAAGAGAGTATTATAAACGATTAGGTTATGTTATTGTAGTAACAACTAACTTCATGTAACCAATAGTCTTTGCGATTTTTTTGCTCTTTGGATTTTTCTTCGAACTATAATAGAAAAACACACAGTTTTTTGTAACGAAACGCACAAATTACGAGTAATCGACTGAATCAAATAAAATGGAGACTTACTGCTGTTCATTAGTAAAAATCATTTTCTCTATCATCCTCTTTTTGGACTCGATCACTGCTTCTTATCCATACCAAATCGTCTTGATTCAAATCAATATCAAGAATAGACGATACGCACGCAACTGCAATAGTAGTATATGACATTAATATCATATTGCTTTCTATCGATGATCAACGTTCGAAATAGACAAAATAAATTTGAATTTGGTTAAAATATCATGATTCATTTTGTATTATTAGTGATATACTCATTTATTTATGCAAGCAAAAGATTTAGAAGTGTTTTAATTTTCTCTGACTACTGTTTTACTTAGTCAACTTTCCAATTATTATGCATCATAGCTAGTCTGTTGTTTCTTACCGCCATTATTTCCTCTAATGCAGACTTCTTTGGTCTGTTCACCAATGCTGATTTTGGCATCGGAACAATTGGCTTTGTGAATGAAGAAAACGCTGTCCCAATCGAGACTTCTGATAAGGTCGTTATCGTAGATGATTCTGTTTCAGATGAGATTTTTTCTTTCTTATTCTTCGGATCATCTTCGCCAGTTATATCTTCACTATGTAATCTTTTCTTGGAGATGGTTATTGAAGGATCAATGGTTGTTAAGGGGCTAAAATGGAATAATAGAAATATAATATTTCATGACTTAGAGACATTACCACATATGCTTACCTGATGAATTTAGGTTTCTCAATAGTGACAATTTTGGTAAACGTTAACTGTACTAAAAATACATACAAAATAGAACATATAAATTCATGTAACATCACTAAATACGTGGGTCTTACCCTTCTCATCTTCGTCTTTTCGAACAAATTCGGTAAACTGTACATCATCTGTTGAATGTTTTTCACTTTCTTTTGCTCGCTGAATCTAAAAAAAGAGCACACAATATAATATTATTGGCATACTACCCTTATGAAACAAAGAACAGCAGACTCTCTCGCTTTAGTGCCACGAACATTTCAGAAAAAACAAATCATTAATTTACTTGTTGTTCGATAAGTTTTGTTCGTCGTTGTTCATCATCTAAATCCATTCTTTCTTTCTTTTCAATTTCACTTTGTCGTCGAATTGTTTCTGGGTCACGATCTATCCAAGTAACATACCAACCCTTTTCTGTCTGATCAACAATGCAATGACCTTGATAAAAAAAAATATTGGCTAATAAAATATTTTCAAGTGCATCACCCAATCATTGTCTACCTTCTTTTCCTAGCCACTGAACATAACCTGATAAAGTCATCCAACTTGTGGAATTCATGTGTACATGATCACGATCTTTAATATATTCTTGATAGACAACATTTGCTTGTATACGTTTGGTCCCAAAACGTCGTTTAAGTGTACACATATAACCTTCATGAAATTGTCTTAACAGAGAAACAATATAAAACGAACAATATAGAGCAGTTTGACCATTTACTTACTGAGAAAAATCTCCAACAAATTTATTTGGATTTTCTGATACTAATAACAGTTGACGTTGATGTGATTCGCTCTCTGTGTGACATTTGAAACCGTTCTAAATAGAAAATTCAATAGAGAATATATCATTTAAAAGCGAAAAACACAGACTCTGCTATATTATATACCTCGTCTCGACACTGTTTTTCACACATTTGACAATACCATCTTAATTTTTGTAATCCTTTGGATTTCATGCGATTTGATATGGCTTTTGGTGTAAGAAATCCACCGTCTTTCCCCATGATAATTTTTTTTCAATAAAAATTAGATAAGATGGTAATCTAAAACGGCAAGAAACAGACGATAAGCGAAGTATATCCAACCCCAGTGCCATTAACGAAGTTTTGAGAATAAAATCGGAAATGAAAATCAGTAAGATTCACAAGATATCAGTTTCAAGCAAGCAGGAAAACACAAAAAGTATATTCCAAGTAAATAACTGATGCTATTTTTTCTAAAAAAATAATAACATAATGATATCGTAACAGAAAAATAGTACAACAAAAAAAGTAATCGACGAATTCATTTTTCTGATTCAGAGCGTGCAGATGATGTGACAGACCAGGACAAAGACAAAGACAAAAAATCTTAACTTATGAAACTGTGACATGTAAAAATATCCACATAATATCACAAAATCATCGATGACCAAATCTAATGATATACCCAAAAATTAGTTTACAGCATATTCGTTCAAAATTTCATATGAAAATCACCAAATAGATTGGCAATAGTTAAATACAACGAAATTTGACATCCTAACAAGGTTTATATGTCGGAACAAAATCGAACTGATATTGTGAGCCATATTATTGTATGAAAACGTATTAGAAATAACTATGATGGCATTCTGCATTTCATCATTCCTCCACCAGTAGACGTCGGATTTTAAAATAAAATAAAATACATTTAGAGCGAGATTGTATACTTGATGTATACAAACTTTAGGTAACAATATTATTGAGATAGTCCTTAGACCATGCGTCACTGTTCATATCTACAAAGAAAATTTTTGAGCATTACAAAAACTCTGCGTCAAGTCACTTACTCTTACACATGGACCAAGTTTTTCAAATATGTCTTCCGATAAAAAATATGTTTATAACAATATTCCAAATAAATGCGATACAAAGCCGAATGCATATTATCGAAATTTTATATCAATGTCAATGTTTCGTTTAGCAAACACAATGCTATAATAAAGTATAAACAAAAGATAATTGTTTTTTTTAGAATAACTAAATAGAAAGATCATCTTATATTAATCAACAATTAATCTATATACTCAATTGTCGCATGTGTCGAGATTTTACAGAAAATAATCCGTATCCAAAATGGATGATGAATGTGAAGTTTTGTACAAATAACTTGTACCAAAATACTGAATTTTGTGGAAGTATTACACTGGCACTTTTTATTCGCACGACGGAAATGACGACCTAAAACAAAATAAAAAAGCAATTATTTGAAAGAATAGAGTGCGTGGACCACATACCGAACCAAACGTCATTGATGCTTTCTGTCTACTTAAACATCTGAAATAAATTAGTGTGACTAATGGACAAACACTAACTAGATTTTATCTCTCGTCGAAAAGCTGGAGACAAACAAAGCATCGTTTGCACGATGGTAAATTCATGAATAAGAAAAAAATTGCAAGGAAACAACTTCTTTGTTCGACATCACGCTCAAAGTTAGCATTCTTACGAGCGAAAATTCAAACTCAATTTTTTTAAAGCATAAGTTTTACGGATTACTTTTGATGCTAATGTCAAGCATGATATCCATTTTTTATTATATGGCTTCCTGATACCACCCTCTTAAACTTTTAGACGATGAGGTAGATTGTGACACAGCCGGTATATAGAGCGCGTCAAGTTATTTATATTGGGGAAGACTTTTAGCCTTAGGAGTCAAGTTTTCACTGGAATAGACAAGAAATTATTCTTTTTATTTCGCTAAAATTATGAAATGCTTTGATTTTACTGTCAAGCTTTGTGATTGTAAGAAAATCTACGTATGTCTGAATGTTTTATTCCATGAGAAACTTGATGTGTTCTACAATCTGGTCGTATTAGAATCTCTTCATCTATAATTTAAGGATCCTGATTTTTAGTGAATGCTTCTTTTCGGCCATATAGAAGAAAATGGGTATTAAGCTTCTAATCCGCATAAAAAGTGACACCAAAAATCGGTTTCATTCAAATAGAAGTCGGGCATTTGAGAATATTTTTCATTGAAAACAGGCCGCAGTAGAATGCTATTTAGTAAAAAAAGCAGACATCACGTCACGTAGTTGTAATGAAAAAAACCTTACAAAAAACTTAACAGTTTTAATCCATAGCAAAAAGTTATCAAAAATTCAACTACACACATATAATAACGATACAATAGTCAATACAAACTGTCGTACAAAAAAATTGGATTACAATCCAAATTTTTCTCGTTCAGCATTTGTCACTTTTTTCAAATTATTATCATACGGATTGAATAATTTAGGATCATCCAGATAAACTGTTTCTTTCCAATAATAGGGCATCAAATGGAATCGTCGCGATTTCCAAATTGCTTTTTCTAATTCTATTTGTTTAAAATAGCATAGACCTGTTGTACGTTGATTAAATATAAAACCAGTTTGTGGTGAAATAAATTGACTTAATAACTCCACATTTCGAAAATCAATTTCAAGTTTATTAACACAAAATATACATTTATGTGGTTCTGGTAAATAGGGATCGTTCATTTGTTTTGGCTGATCATCATTTGGATTATAATCAACAACTTCTTCATTTTTAGACATTGATGAGCATAATGGTGAGTTAGGTGATCGAGGTGGTGTTTTTCGTTTTGGTGGACCAGAGAGAAAATGTTCACGCTCTTTTCGCAGTTTTTCTTTACGTTTTGCATCATATCGGACCCATTCGTCTAAAAAGAGCAAGATATTCAAAAGAAGCATCAACGCTTTAGCGAAAGTGTAGTCTTACCGTCTTTTTCATAAACGTCAGTTGTTAAGAAAACAGACTGATTAACTTTGTTTGTGTATTCATCAATATCTTCCCAGTTTATATGACGTATTGCCGAGAACGAAAATAGCCGAGCAGGAGACTGACACAATGTTGACCGAAATAATCGAGCTAGGCTAATCATTCTGGAATTAATGATATTTGTGCATACTAAAAAAGTATTGTAAAATTTTCCATGTGATGAATCTAGGAATAAACTAGAATAAAAGAGGCGCAATTAAAGAGAAAAACATATCTCTTGATTGTGGCTTTTACCTACGCTCGTACAAAGATTTTTGAAAGCTTACTTAACTTCAGGTCTTTTCTGTCTAAGACCCGTGCACAGAATGGTGTGTCATCTTTATTTACAAAAAAAATGTTGCCGAACATGGATTAATATCCAAATGCAATATTTCGCCCTTAACAATGTTATGTGTCTTAGATATAGATGTTTTACTTTTTAATTCAATAGGGTTCAATGATTGATTCTCAAGGAACTTGGACTTGGTAGCGATCCATATACTCTATGATTCTACGCCAGTGTCCGATAAAATTGACCGAACAACGGTAGAGTAGCGATACATTACAACGGCAAGAGCCCATCGGATACACTCGTGCAGTAAACTAACGGTTCATACTCAGTCTAGCTTTCCGTTATTCCACCTCTTATCTGTTGCAGATCCATTTAAGTTATACAAAAGTTTTCTTTCATTTATTCTAGACAAATTCGAAGTCGAGCAAAAACAAAGTTGAACGTTCAACTGTGATGTAATAGGTTGTTTCCTGCGATGTAATATAATATATATATAAAAAATTCTTTCCGGCTTTTGTATTAGTCTAGAAATGTAACCAGTCAAAATCTGAGTAACTTTCTCTATAATGAAGACAGTATATCCGATTTTGTACTAAGAACTACTTTCTTGAACGCCATCAATGATTTCTTCACATTATATAATCAGCTAGTGATCTGTTCACTAGACTGTTGTTTTAACCGCTAGTTAAATATCATTTACAATAGCCCAGGGAAAGCAATCGTATATCAAGATTTCCTATGGTCTTATAAGGTCTTATTCCAAGAAATCATAAGATTTCAAAGGATCTTGTAAAATGAGTTTCACCTGGGAGCGTCATCTAATTACACCGTTGTTTTAACCGCTAGTTAAATATCATTTACAATCGCGTCATCTAATTATACTACGTTTGGCTTAGAAATAATCCAAACTCCACTTTACTTCTTGCATGCCCGAAGTTGCGGAGTATATAATCACAAAATACGCAGACATTGATGTATAATGATGCTTCTATGTTAATTGTGTGGTGAAACAACTTGTTAAATATATCTAGTGAAATAAATTTATTTATTTGCCAAAACAATTTATAATCGAGATTTTATCTTGTACAGCTTATCACCTATAATTTTTAACATCGAAATAGATTTACTAAGACTAAGACTGTTTTATTTAGGAAAAATGAGACTCATCAAAGGTCCCCGACCTGTAATATCAATGACTCAAGCCAAACAACACCAAAAGAGTTGTTGGCCTAACTAAAAAGGACAAAATAAAGAAGACAACTGAGGTTAGAACCAGTACATAAATACCATCCCTTCCTATCAACTGTGCTGTCCGTTTTAAAACTGCATATTTTTTTTTCTTCTAATAAAACCAAATATGGAGCGGCACGCAATATACTGTCTGACCTAAAAGAGGCCAATTGCTCTGCCAAATTAGATTTATATGAAGGGCTTAATGGTTTAATCTTCACTAAAAACATTATCGCTTTACAATTCTTTATTAAGTTAACTCTAAATGCTACCTGTTCTTGATCATTGTTTTCATTATCCAATATATATGTGCTTTGTTGATTAATCCTAGTTCCATTGTTTTCATAAATAAGAAATTTTCCCTGTTGGGTAATATTAAAAGATTTATAACCCAGTCACAGTTCATCCAGCTTATGTCAGAATATCAAGATGTACTCTATTTTACCTGTTCAATACTATGCAGTTCAATAAAAGCTTTACAAATCAACAGAAAAGACTTTGGTTTTTGAAAAGGTTTTCTAGAAATCTTCCGTTCTACAAGATTGTTTCTTACTATTCTCCATTAAATAACCGTACTGAGCCGGTAAAATAGATTATATCTTGATATTCTGACATAATTTGGATGGACCGTGACTGGGTTATAAATTTTTTTAATTTTACTCAAAAACAGGAACAATTGGGTTATTTCAACTAATATAGGTTTTCACCAGGTTTTTGACGCTTATTTGAAAAACAAATGTTGCCACGAGTTTCAGCGTGGTCTATTACATATAGTTCCATTCATTTTCGGAATTGCCACATCTAAAGAGACATCAATCTTAGGACTCTCAGGAAATCCGATGCCAGACCTGTACCAGGAAAAATGAAGAGTTCGCTTAGTTATCGTTTCGGAGAAGACACATTGAACTATCTATCTATAGAAAAAAATAGATAGATTCCTATCCCAGTTTCCAGATATTCCGACTGGTTTTCCAAAGATCCATCTGGAAAATCCATGGAGATTCAATGAAAATTTTTTTCCTGCCATAGTTCTATGCACCCTGGGCTTGATTATAAGTCAGCGAAAACCGTTTCTCGATATCTCTTCACATTGCCGAGTTATTCGAAGAGGCGTTGGGTATCTTATTTTTTGAATCCGATAATAGTCGTGTTGCATGAGAAAACTAAAACAGTAAACGCCGCTCAGATTGAGCTAAAGCTCCGGTTTTAAGGGTTTTTGATAGCACTCTTTCCGATGGTATTGTCAAAGAGTAGTAGCTCTATCGGATACAGAGTTTCTAAAAAACCCCGGTTTTTGAATACTGTCGTATGAAAGGAAATATTTTCTGATTAAATCTGAAGAAAAGAAATAAAATTCTACAGAATTTATCGACTATGCTTCCAAGTTCGCTACGTATCTATTCATTTTTCGGGTTGCATAAGTGAACAAAATTTGTCGTTTGTTTTTACGTCAACTTATTCACTCGATTACTTCCTCGTATTTATTCGAATGGCATTTGTGAGAAGTAAAACGTTTCAGACAGTTTTGCTGTCATTGTGTAAAAAGACAGGCAGCAAACTGGCACAAACGTTATTGAACATGAAAGCAGCCCATTATTACAAGTGGATTGGAATTTAGCACGATTAATTTGAGCGAAATTTACAGGACAGGTGGAAAGAGCCGTCGATACTCAGTTAATAATCAACGAGCAATGAATTCTTTAAAGGTGAGAATCTATATTATTCGGTCATTCCGTCAACAGGTCGACGTAATCTTCATAATTTACATTACAGATTCGTTTTTATTTCCCTAAATCTACATTTGTTGAGTGTGTTGTTTCGTGTCCAGTTCAACAGACAAGCCGAAGCCGGTTATGAATAATCTCTTGGAATACGATAATGGATTTCTAGCAGTTTTAACAGACCTAATCAAGTTCCTTCATTTTTGTCACTGTTTTAGGAGGACATGGATGACACAGAATTTGAATGTATGAATAAACAAGCTAGAAAATTTGAAAACAAATTGAAAATTGATATTTACTTAAATTATTTTGGGTCCGAAGACGAAATGTATTGTGATCATGTCACCAATGAATTACAACGTTACACATATGAATCCATTTGTAGTAACAGCACATGCCCAGCCAAAAAAAAGAAAAGTTCAAGATCGATGTTAACATTCATGTAACTATCTACATTCCAAAGTTTACATCTACTATGAGCACTTGCCTAACTGTTTGTTTACATCATAGCTGTCAAAATCAACAACCACTCCCGATAATACAATCTTTCTCTGCTGAAGGTATTGAAACGTGCAATTTCAAACTCATGCCGTATGATGAAAAAACACATATTCCTCCAGGCACGAAAATTGAATATTTTATTGAAACATGTTTAAACGAAATAAGTGAAAAACAAAAATCTGAGTAAATGAAATACTGCTGTTGGAAATACATCAATTTTTATATCCTTTCTGCTAAGGTTGTACATTACATGCGACGAGAGACGGCGAATATCCTCTGCATCGTTCGTTGATCAAACGCCGATAATTCTTATTGTGCAAAACTCGTATTCAGAAATAAGAACAAAAAATGTACCAAAAAATTTACATGTGGGAAATCAAAAGTGACTACTCGCTAACAATGGATTATATATGTGAACAGTTCAAGAGGGAAAAACGGCACACTTTTTAATAAATTTTTAGATATGAACTGATTGGAACAACAACGCACAAACGAAACCATTTCATTGGAATGGTTTATTGTAACACACATGGGAAGACAACAATCGTGGACGATCTTTTTTTAACAGTGGACGGTGTACATGTTGTTTCCAAGGCTTTTTGTATTCTATCAGAGTAAGTTGTGCTAATTTTTATTATTATTTTTTTCTTCTCATTGTGTTATTGTAAAAATAAATTGCTTGCGTTACATGTGATGTTTAGCAGTACTTTTCTCAGAAGGAACAAACGTTAGCGCACAAGTCATGGCAGAAGGACGTTATGACAAAAACACTTATCGTATTGTGAATGCGCGATAAATATAAATCAAGATTTTTCACTAAGATTAAGACATAGTTCAATTCTCGAGTTTATACGTTTTCACAAAAAATTTTAAATAGTCCAGTTTAGTTCTTTCATTTGTGAGATTTCAATAATGAAAAAAATGCGTACTGAAGTCACGTCTTAGCACATCCCTAGTGAATCTACTTTTGCACAAGGGATCAGACAAGTACTTGTGCAAGTAATTTCCAGACTATCTGGAGTTTTTTGCAAGTAAAAAAGGTACTTATCCAGTAATTTAACAAATATAAGTACTTCATTAAGTATTTGATAAGTACTTGGAAATATATGCACGCATGCGAAGTTCTTCCAAGTACTTGTCACCTATCCAATCTAAAAATGTTTGGCACGTCCTTAACTAAGTACTCTAAAAAATCTGTACGTAGCTTATGTTTAACTTAAGATTCATCATATATAAATCATAGCCTAACAACAAAGTCTTCTTGCCCATCGTGTCATTAAAAACACTGCTGTCAGCTAGTGAACGCACGGTAGATATGAAAAGTGCACATCTCGTTCTTAACCCTTTGGCTCCCGGTGACATATAAATACGTCTAGTTGC